TGCACACCGTAATACAAATGTCTTTAAAATGGCATGAAGTACTATATGAACACCTAAATAAACGTTTTGTGGAAGCACTCCGATAGTTTTGCAGTAATTACTTCTCATCAAGTGGTAACATCCACCTTCTCTCAAGTCCTTTCTTTTAAATCAAACCTAGGTTTATTCACTTAGAGAAGCCGTTAAACGCAGAAGTGGATGACCGTTATATTTTAACTCCATAGTCTCAAGCACAGCGTTCCATCATGCCTGAGCAAGATAACAAATGGAATGAACACGTTTATCCTATCACTAGGTGCCCAAGGATTTTAACTTGTTAGACAGAGATATCGACAAGATTGACTACATCAAAAGCCCAAGTCATATGACACATATCACAGATAAATGAGAAATCTGGGATCCTCCAATAAGCTAGCCAATGTTTTGAAGATGCCTTAGTATAATACGTAATACATACACACTCTCTCTAATATATATATGTATATATATATATATAATCGAAACTGAAGTAGCGGGTCCCTGTGAAACACTCTTGGGTTTGTATAGGCACCAGCATTTATATTGAACACTTATAATAAACATTTATAAACATTTATAATAAACAAGCCTTGATGAGTCTTTATAGCGTTGAGTTTCCTAATTCGTTGATACTCAGCAGATTAAATGGTTAAGAATGTAGCGGATACTCCCATTTCGTCAGTAGTGGTTTACATAGATCATGATGAGCTAAGAGCTAACTAAAGAGAATAGAACAATTTGTATTTACAACAAATCGACATTGATCATAATTGAGACGTAAATTTTGTGTACACTAATAGTCGATTGGTCTGCCTTTGCTCTGGAGGATTTTTTGAGTCTGTTTGGCATCGAATCCACCAACTTCGGTATGGAGTCATTTTCTATTTTGAGTTCCATTGCGTAGTGCACTTTTGCCTCCAATGTCCAATGTACAGGTAGCACGTTGACCTCTCTCTTCAAAACAGAAGACAGATTTTCAATTACACTGAGATCCGGGCTATTAGGGGGAAGTTGCATGAACTGGACCTTAGAGTCATGCATCTTTTCCGAAGTCTAAAAGCAAATAATAAGTGAACCAAACTCTTTAACTAAATACATTTACAACCCTATCGTGAAACGTGACACGGAGCGTTATCCTGAAAAACGATAACTTTTCCAGACGATCCTTTTCATGAACTTCTGGAAACATTTTCGTCATTACGGATACATTTTCCCCACTATTCGTGGTGCCTTTGACTGCATAATGAAACTCAATTTGATAAAAAAAATTTAGTACATCACAATCGGCCAGTACTGTATATATATTATATAGTTGTCTTCAATTTCCATGCTCAGATGATTTTGCCTCGGCAACCGAGGTCACACATGTTCAGTTACCAATAACGCACCCTGGAAACAACTTAAACAAGAGAACAATCCAAGTAAATTAATGATACTTACTGAAGCTACAATATATCTAATATGTCTAAGAAAACTAAAATTATTGAAGAAAATTTGCGAATGTTTTACCCTGGGTGTCGACTGCAAACCTGCAGTTATTATTCTCCTCTAAGGTAATGACTGTTAGTTCTATCTGGAGCGCGTCAAACCAGCAAATGCATATGGTTCAGCAACATCATATGCTAACAGATTATTTGTGGATCTCATTTGACAATGTTGTAGAGTGTATTCCGTAACTTGGGCTGGGGGGGGGAGTGGAGACAGCAATCACCGTTCATCTGGTCGAAACGGAAACCGGTGTCAGTCTGATTTGATCATTCACATTCATTTACACCATAGTTCGAGTGCGTCCAAATCAAATCAAGGAGCGCTCACTGCCAAGGCGATCATCATTTCGGTACAACATCCTGTGCCATCTACCTATATGTGTGTTTGGAAACAATTTGTCAGAGGCATGGATTTAGCATGGCCAGGCTGAACGGAAGAGTGACGTAATACCTGTGACAAACCAGCATTCAATTCTCTATATCTGTTCGATGAATGAACAGCACAAAATGAATTTTGCCCAATGTTTTGAAGTCGTACGAACCATCTGAAATTCTCTGCATACACAGAAAAAAAGGTATTCACTGTATCGCTCCGTTCCATTGATTCACGGCATTTGCGGGCTCATAAAACATGAACTGTATTTGGCAAGTGAAAACTAGGTTGTTTGCCCATTTTATTTCCAAAAATATATTATCTATTGTTCTTTCACTTTTCATTTAATGGAAAGCATGAGACCATTCGAATCTATTTATATATACACAAGTTTGGTCATTTGAAGGGGTTCACTGGTAGATGAAATTCGAGGCTTAGGATAGCTCTTGTCGGAAGAGCTTTTCAACAAGTGATTTCCTTGTTGGCTGCATAATTTATACCAAAGCAGATTTTGCTGCATATCAACTGGTACCATCCGGCCGAAAACAGCGATCTATTTGGTTGGACAGAACATCATACAACCTAATTCTGTTTTCTCTCGTTTTGAAAATTATTTTGGGAAAACGCATGTTCGGTTTTCCTTCTAGTTTTCAATTTATACAAAGATTTTCTTCCAAACTCAACGAATCAGAAATATACCCATGTTTCTCAACAACAAATGTTATCTGATCTGGCGCTATTTTGTTTTTAACGCTTGGTTTCAAATGTTTAATCTGTTCTGCATTAGTGACACAAAATGTCACTTCCAAATCGAGATGGACAGCAAAGATAGGAGGGAAGGGAGGAAGGAGAGACTGAACGATTCGATTTCACACGCTTTCTATCAAACACATCCGTCAACATAGCTGGTCCAAATGTCCGTAACAGACCGGTGATGCATGTGAAAAGAGTGTATGTGCGTGATTTTGACAGGGGAGAACCATCTTTGGTTTTTTTCAGGAACTACTAGAGGGCACAGAACGAGTACTCTTGTTTTGTTTCTGTTATACGAGTCAGGTCAGTTGTTGAAAGGGAGCATTTCCAATGCAGACCGACCTTGGTAGCATTCACTGAGATCCGTAAAGTACATTTCATATTACACGCAGTTGATTTATTAAGGAAATAATGGCTCGTCATATGGAGAAACGTTGCTATTTGCTATGAAAACGCAATCATAGCGTATATTGCCTGAGTTATCTGGGATTCGAAGCAGTGTCATCGATCAAATACACCCTTTATTTGAGCTCTCCGGGATACCCCCTCCCCCTTAAGTTTGCTTCAACTCAGCATTGTATGATGGGGCACGTATTCCTAACTGCCGGCATGTTTATACTTCACTTCGACAAGGTTTGTGTCACTACTGACTAGGGCTGAATTACCTTTATGCAAGTTTATCTTCCCTCCTCAATTTTACTAGAGCTTCTCGTAGATCAAAACTAAGACCAGCAAAAGTGCAGATGCAACATGGGAATGGGAGTATAAAATCTGCTCAATCCGCATACACCGTATCCACACATGTCTGCTAATAGTTGCTTGTCATTAGGACAATAGTTTTCAGTAAAAAAACCATACCAATCTTTCGAGAGCGGAGAAGAAATCTTCATCATTGTTTCTTAGACAACTGCGGTTTATCTCATATGTTCCTCATTGCACGAGAGTAGGGTAGTGTTGAATTTACTTGACTGATGAATTTCCTCGTAGGCGAAGAGCAAAGGAGGACGGGAACCGGAAAGTACCGGCAAGCGTTTTAATTTTGTTAGCTAGCATCAGCTATGCGCAAATTCATCTAACCGACCGTGGATCTCGAACCCGAGAGATGGCATGCCAAAATCATACGTACTGCTGATTTTACAACCAATCAACAACTGATCAGGTGGTTTGCAGATGTCTGTAGATTAGTTTTAACAAGATCGAAACTGCTGTATCACAGCTCATTTCAACATTTCAGATCCGGTGTACCTTTCACGACGAAATTCATCACGCAAGATTGTCACCTTTCTCTGGCCGAAAGTTTTCGATGCACAGATCATCACATCAGTGCGATTTACTTGATCTGAATTATTTCTGGAAAACATGAGAGAATAAATGACCAATAAAACCCGAACAAGTTAGCAGGACACGTATTTTAGGATACTGCAATCACGATAAATGAAACTGAACGGTTTAACACCCATTAGCCTGTTGCGTAGACGATAAGGAATAAACGTTAAAAATACTCAGCAACGTTCAAACCGACGAGTTTTCCTATCCAAGTATCTTCTTCATAGACTCAAATATTTTTCGTGACTTATTACGGAAGATTAATAATGGGTAGGCATGTGTGTGTGTCTGTGGTGCGCAAGCGATCCGGAAGAGAATTCAAAATCATCCCACACTTACCAGTGACATGTCTGCCGATTTCAGGGCACCCAAAGCATTTTTCGCCTCCGTCTTGTCTTCGATCACGTGATACAGACGACGGGTGATGAATGCTCGGACCACATTCGGTGTACACTCGTGAAATTCACAATCAGCACGATGATCCAACAAGTACTGGATTGGCGAATATAGGAAAATTGTGGTTAGATCATCACCATGATCGTACAACGAAATACAGTGAAGCAAACTTCATTGAGCGCTGCCAAACTCGCAATGCAAGTTTAAGGTGGACACGAAGGGAGAAGAAGGTGAACCACTCTGGTCAACACACAGTGCACAATCATAAGCTACCTAAATACCGTTTCAAGGGTTCTGGTCTGATAAGAAATGACACCAAGAACGCCACTGCTGTCGGTTCGCTGGCCCACCTCACATTCGTACACCACTAAAAACATAAACAAATTCACTATAGCCTACATTCTCTATTATCTCCTACCCGGAACTCTATGAGACTTCTTTTTCGACGTGTAACTATTCATCTGTGTAAATATCCTATGGGGACAAGAGAAGCACGAGTGTGTAAGTTATTCCCATGATAAAACTTTGACTTTGACTTTGAAGTCCTTTAATGCCTCCAACCGACCGGTTACGAAATCCTTCGGACCCCAACCTGGAAGGCGACAGACACCTGCTCTACCTAATGGCTCTGTGCATTTCTTCATGCCTCGTCTCCACATCATCTGTTCACCTCCACGTGGTTTCCTCCAGCCCGGATTGGCTACAGCAAATAAGGTGCGTTGCGGCTGACGATGGCTGGGCATACGCAATGCGTGCCGTAGCCAGCGAAGCAATCTGATTTCGGTGCTCTAGCAGGTTTATACCTGATAGACTCCCAAACACACGACGGCTTACTTCCACAATACTTACTCATTCGTTTCATCCAACGTGGGCTAAACTGCGTAAACACCGATAATCGAAAACTTCTAGTCGATGGATATCTTCTACTCCCAAATTCAGGGTCCCACAACCATAAAGCAGGACTGAACGAACGCTAGCACAATATACACGACCTTTCAATTTCTTTAAAACGTCGCGTCTCTTCAGTCCTGCATATGCTGCCCGAGCCTTGGAAGTGCGGGTGGTTATCTCCTTGGCTGCGCTACCGTCATTGGTTACGCAACTACCCAAGTACGAAAAGTAATCCAAAATACATAATCCTGGTCATTTAGTTTCAGAGCGGGAGTAGACGAAACCCAGTCCGGCAGCACTCTTTTTCACTTTGAAAATGCCAAGCACATACCGAATAAGGTAATTGCCCTTTTTAGTTTATCAAGTGTACTTTGAGCGTCCTCCATACAGTCGAACAGACAGACGACGTAATCAGCGTACTCTAATTCGCACGGCTTTTCTCCATCTGCCCATTCAATACCTACGTTTCGGAGACCACTAAACGCGTCCTCCAGTATTTCGTCTATGACGAAGTTAATCAGGAACGGCGAGAGAGGGCATCCTTAAAGAACGCCACTGCTGGTGACGAACGGCCCACTTAGTTCATCATAGACCCTTACACGACCAGAGGTATGTGAGTACAGTGACCTCAGTAGCTTAACGTACTTCTGGGGCATTCCTTTTCGAAGAAGGCAGCCCATCAGAGCTTCGCGGTCAACTGATTTGAAGGCTCCTTTCAGATCAAGGAACATTGCAATCGTTGGTCGACGGTGGGTGTGACGCAGCTAAAGGATCCGACGCAACGTGAAAATTTGAGCAATACATCCACGGCCAGGACGGAATACGGCTTGCTGTTAACAGATGGTGGTCTCTCTTAAAGGCATCAGACGTCGAAGTATAACCGAAGCTAGCACTTTGGTGACGATCGGGATCAAACTGATTCCGCGGTGGTTCTCGCAATCGTTGCGGGATTCTTTCTTGAAAATGGGAACGGTCAGTGATTCGCCCCAAGATGATGGAATATGCTCTTGCATCCAAATGTTGCGCAGTAGGGTAGTAATAGAGCTTACGAGGTTGTCGTCTCCCATCTTGAAAAGAGTGGAAGGGAACTCATCAGGTTCTGCTGCCTTTCCTCGCTTCAGAGCTTGAATGCAAAACCGAACTTCTACTTCCGTTGGAGGACCGCATGACACTGCCCACGGAGCTTCAGTCGGAGATGAAGCAGCCTGATTAGCACTGGGCCAGCTGAACTGTTTGCTGTAGTATTCTTCCCAGAGATTATTTGGTTCATCCCTATTGTGAATTGCTTGTCCCATCTTATCGCAAACTTTTTCACTAACTGGTGTTCGCTGACCTTCCATATTGCGTATCAGTCGGAACAGTGTTTGACTATTCCCTGATGCATATGCGACTTCCATTTCACTTGCCATTGTTGACCACCAGTTCTCACAGTCCTTCTAGAGGCTCTTCGTAAGCTGACGTCGTAGATGCCACCTAACTCTGTTTTGATCCTGGCAGGTTACGATTTGTCGTTTTTTATCCATCAGGGCTATTGAATACTGAGATATCCAATATCTCCGATGGACTTGAGGCTTAGAACCACAAGCAACATTCGCTGCGGAATGCATTGCTCGCCTAATCTGATCCCACCGTTCATCTACATCATCAGGTTGAGGTGCGCTTAGCCCATGCACTAGCTCTGACTCATAGCGTGTACGAACGGCTGGAGCAGATAGTCGTTGACGAGCTATCCGAGCTTGTTGGTTTTGTCGCAGACCAGTTAGTCGGAGAGTGAACTGCATCAGAACTAATGCATGGTCAGACTCAACGCAGGTGGTCCAATAAGACCTGATATTTTGTACTGAGCCACGCCAACGGTAGGTTACTGCTGTGTGGTCGATTTGAGTTGAACTGGAACGCCACATCGCCGTCCGTCGGGAGCTGCGTCGGCAGTTGGTACTAGATAGGATCAGATGATGATCCGCGGAGAACCGAAGAATTCGATCAAAGTTATCTGTTCGTTGGCAGGGTAAGGCACAATTTCCGCCTAGAGAGGCTTCCGATGCGCTCAGTTTTACAACTGGCGCGTTCAAGTCACCTGCCAGTACAACTATGTTGGAGCTTCGACTCAGCCGCATGAGATCGATGAGTTCATCGTAGAAAGCTTCCTCTTGGGTATCAGAACTGCAATTGTTCGGTGTGTATGCCGATATGATGAACATACACCTTTTGATGTTGCTTCCCTTCCGGAGGCTGGTTGAACCCCAGAGACGCACTGTACATAAACGACGGTTGACGGGAAGCCAATCGTTAAGAGAGGACTCCGCACTGACCTACTGAACGAGCTTCATCATCGTCTGATGTGCGAACGTATCTCGAAGACAAATCTGGCGCGCTCAAGTGGGTTATAGTANAAATGTCGATGATAAGATCTTCTGGCTTGACAAAAGCCATCCTGTGTAGCTCGTTGGGTCACAGAAGTGCACAAGCCATCACACTACGTCAAGGTGCAGTCTGGTCGTGATTGGTAGATATAGGTGCTTAGACGATAAACAAGTGTCCCACTTTGGCGTGACAAATCTATGTATTTAGTATATTTCATTTGCGCTGGATTCCAAAATGTGCAACCAACATATAGGGATATCAAAATCTTTGTAACAAAGAAAAATGCTAGTGAGCAGAATACTGACAGATCGCTCAGGCGATAGCCAAGGAATTAGTCTGGGGATTCACAACCGGAGCCATTGGATAGGCAAAGCCTGACCCCAAANAAGTAGCGGCCGGTTTATCATAACCACAATCCATTGGGGGCTGGTATCCAGTTCATCGAATCACACGCTCTTTGGACGGGGTCAAACGCCCAAGGTGCTCGAGACCCCTCTATCTTCGGTCAAGCCAGTGACCCCTGACAGAACCACGAAGGTATGTGTGCGTATGTGGTTCGCACATCTCAATAGGCTAAATGGTAGTCTTCAAAATCTTATATCGGGCTCACTGAAGTATTATTTATTTAGGTTTGCTTCAAAGTAAGTCTCTGGCCCAACGGAAGCCTGAATACTCGGGAAATTGAATTCGAAGATTTTAGTGCTTAATTGTTTTCATTTTTCAGAAGAATTCAAAAACCCTTTTGGTTAGTCAAATAGCATGCATATACTCAAACGGTTGATAAACGAAGAGTAATAACAAACCCGTTCAGCGTTCATAACTCATATAATTCGTTTCGAAGTTGAATATTTCTCATTTTTCCATAGGTCGCGACAATTTCATTTCCCTATCTTTCTCTTTCTCAACCATTCATCCTTCTGGTCAACTTAATTAAAAGTAACGGTTCAACTTTTGCCTCCTGGTAGTTTTGAGACCCTTTCGATATTGAGTTTGCCGGAGTGCGTTGACTATCAATTA